TGAATGTTAGTCTGTTTCCCACGCTCAGGCTAAGAATGAGACAGGGGGCGAGGGGGGGCGGGGGGGGGAGAAAAGAGGCTCTTAGGGGCCAGGAGGGGAGCAGCAACGGGCCCTGCCAGTTTCTCCTGCTCCCCCCCCCCCCCCGCCGCCCGGATGAGATCACTCGGAGGCTGTTCTTGCACGCGCTGAGCGCACTGAAGCCCACAGAGAGTTTCGGCATTCTCGTGATCTCATATCCCGGGGGACGGGGAGTGAAGTCACGCCAGCATGCCTGCTGCCAGACCTCAGGGGACGTCGCGCCACATATCTGCAGTGGCCACCGAGAGGGATCCCAGGGGCCGGCAATTTAACAGATTAACACGGAGCCTTTGGAGCGACCTCGGGTTTCGCTCCCGCCAAGGCCGCTGCGGGAAGTTAGAGGCAGGCGGGGGGAGGCTTTTCTCTCCCCCCCTCCCCTCCAGCTTCGTGGAAAACAGGAAGCAGAAGCACCCCTGGCTCAACGAGTTTTGCAGAGCGGGGGTATTTCTTCCCTGCTGTGGGAGCTGCTGCGGCTGAGCGCACTTGTGAGTTTGGCGAGCCTGGTGCAAACTGCGCAGGGTAAAATGGGAAGAAGGAAGGGAAGGAAAACCCTTCCAAGGGGCCAGGCCAAGGACAGGGTGACAAGTCCCATCACGACCCAAGGGTTTCAACGAGGGCTACTTCTCTTGAGAAGCCGTTGCAAATTCTCAGAAGTTTCCTTCCCTTGCCAAAAAGCTTCTGTTTTTCAACTTTATTCTCAGGCAGTTTGAGAATTCCTTTCGAATTTCTCTTCGCCGTGTTTCTGAACTGACTCACTGAGAGTGACAGAAGTCCTGTCCCAACTATGGTGTTTTCAGGGACACCTCTTTCCTCTGTGGAAACCTCTCTGGTTACTCACCCTTTCCCATCTACAAATACTCAAGAATCGAGCTTGCAAAGAGGAAACCATCTTCCAAGAAAACGTGCACAAAGACCTGCCCAAGGAAAATCCAAGTCCATAAATATATTGATCGCAGTGGCCACTGTTTTCCCCGTCGTGGATCAATCAATAAGCCACAGGGATCCTGCTCTGTCATCCACAGCGTCAACATGGCAAACCACAATGACTGAGTTCACACAGAGGCCAAAGAAATGCCATCGTGACTTCACGCGATATTTGCGTGGATCAGCTAGGTCCACGTCCTCTGCTCTGCAAAAGATGGGACGTTTCTGGAAGTGTAGGAGGAGAGCTATGTTAGTCTAGGGTGGCAAAAACTCAGAAGGAATCTGGTAGCATCGTTTTGGACGAACCGGTTTTTATTACAAGCGCCAACTTCCAGGAATCGCAGCTCGCTTCGTCAGATGCACGGGCTGGCTGAACGGAGGCAGGATGTCCGTTTAAACTACATCCACTTAGCCACTCCATGCCTTTGATGAAGTGAGCAGCAGCGGATGCAGGTTTGGGACGATTTGCCTCTGCCCTGATAGAGAGATGCTACCCATCTCATTCCTTAAAATTCCCATTCCCTTCGCGGAACAAGCTTAACCGGGTTAGCGAATCGGCTCCTTTGGTTAATTGAGCCCTTAACTAACTGGCCAGGTTGGCTTTGGTGTAACGTGCAAACTTCCCCCAAACTTAACCAAGTTGAGCACATGGTACAAATACAGCCCAGCGGAGACCGGGCAACACATCAACCCGCCGAATTCGCGATCACTGCAGAGCGACGGGATGTTGCTTAGCACCCTGCCAGATTCATCTTTGTGCCTCTCAGAAATGCAGACGGTTAT